CCTTTGAATTGAATACAAGATTAAGACACGACTGCCTACTATCGTTGGTAATACTGCATCATGTGGTAGACCGTCGGGAGTGAAAAGACAGAGATACTTCAGACCGATATAAATACCTCGGGAGATTTGGACTTCACTGACGGTTTATATGTTACACAAACCTGAAGATATGCAGGAGAAAATCAGCAAGGTGGTAGAACAAGATGGAAGCGAAGACAGAGATAATGAAGATACGTAACCGATGACGGTGAGTACCAATCAGTGTGAAGCAGAGAAATTTGAAGAAGCTTACCAAAGATATTTTTATCTAGTCAGCGATTGTTTCAAGTACAAGCAGCACAGACGAAAGTGTCAAAGACAATCAGGATTGGAAAGGTAAGATATTCTCTCATAAATCTTAAGAATCGAACTTCCAACGCTGAAGTCAAGTCAGCGATTCTATGTGACGCAGAGACTAGGTTGGTCACCAAGAGCATGTCATCAGCTGCCTTCACTGGCTTCATAATAAAGATCAGATGGTCGCTGAGAAAGGATAAGTAACGGAGAACTCGGAAAACGAACCAACAGGGGTGCCACCGACAATTAAACATCTCATCCAACAGTTGGACGACAATGCTGTATGCCAAGTAATCCACAACGGGAAACTTACGGAATCCTTCGAAGTGAGAACGGAAGCAAGGCAAGGCTGCCTTCTATTGCCAATGATTTGACTGATCATAGTAGACTGGACAATGCGACAGACAACGAGCAATGAGGAAACAGGCATAAAATGGACCCACACGAAAAACTTGGAGGATCTGGACTTCGCCGATAACATATACGTCTAATTCCCCAAATACTGAAAGATATGCAAGTTAAAAGCAACAAGTTGACAGAAGAACCATCAAAGACAAGACTTCAGGTGAACATAGAGAAAACAAAGGTGATGAAGATTCCTGGCCAACAACAGCCACAGCAACAACAACAGACAACAATCAGCCAGCATGAATGGGAGGAACCTGAAAGAAACAACCTCCTTTACCTACCTACCCACCTACCTGGGAAGCATCGTTTCAACTACAGGCCAACGGAACTGACGACGATATCAAAGCAGCAAGGATAGGAAAAGCAAGACAAGCTTTCATTACTTTCAAGTCTTTGAGGAGGTCCACAGCACTCAGCATAAATAATAAGATACGGATTTTCAATTCCAATGTGAAGTTAGTCGGTGCTGCTATACGGATCAGAGATTTGGAGCGTCATAAAGAGCAACTCAAACAAACTACAGACCTTCATCAACAGCTAGCTGTCTTTGCTCAGTACTGCTAAAGATCAGATGGCCATAAAAAAATCTGTAACAAGGAGGGATCTCTGGGAGCAAATCAGCCCACCAGGAACCGATTGTGCAACAAATAAGCAGGAAGAAATGGAGGTGGGTTGGCCATACGCTGAGGAAACCATCAAGTGACGTCCCTAGACAAGCCATTGCTCGAGTGGAACCCGAAAGGGAAGGGGCAAGTTGGTCGTCCAACGGTGACATGGAGGAGGTCATGTGAGGAGGAGATGAATGCATGTGGGCAGATGTGGAGCCAAGTGAAAACGTTGAGAGAGAAGCGAACGCAATAGAGATGTGCGACTGAAGCCCTATGTTCCTCTAGGAATTAAAGGAAATAATAATAATAATAATGCTGAAGAAAATGCAGATGGATAGAATCCCGCGCCAAGCAGACTCTCAGATGGAACCGGAATTCGAAATGATGATAAAGTGGGCTTGGGTTGGAGAGTGCCTTGAAGGAGAAGAGTCTATGGGCGACCATGAAGCCAGATGAAGGTGACTGTAGAGGACAGCGTGAAGAGGAGGTAACTCCATTATAGATAAGATTTTATTTCGTTAAATCACACAGTATTTTCATTGGACACTAGTAATTAGAGTGACGTGTCTAGTCCTTTGTTTATTGCTGAGTGAATGCTATCAGTCAGGTTCGCAATGTGGTCACCATTCCGCTAGGTAGCTTGCCATCATGGTGCACATTGATTTGATGATATTAGATAAAAAGCCTTTTTGACCTAGGTTTCGTGCTAGTTGGTACTCACCACCAGTCAGCAAGGCGTATCTGTAACTGCCTTGAAGGAATTCATGTCCCTTCTAAGATTCGAACCCGCGTCACCCAGTGCTGCAGACCGATAGAATTCAATCTGCACCAAAGAAAGGGACTAGACACGTCACACTAGTTACTGACTAGTGTCCAATGAAAATACCCACTACAGTCAGTCCTACAGGAGGTCAATCGGGAGCCCGAATAGCTAGCTCAGTGGTAACGTCTCTGCCTGTAAGTGGCACTGGGTGACGCACGTTCGAATCTTAGAAGGGACACGAGTTCCTTCAAGGTGGTTGCAGATACGCCTTGCTGACGAGTGCCAACTAGCACAAAACCTAGGTCAAGCAATGCTTCCTGTGGCTAATCGCCTGCAACTATCGAATACCATTAGATCACACGGTGTTATACAGTAATAAATATTGATGACCTCATTTCGAGCACAATTTACTGCTGTCCATAATCATATCAAGTCCCTCACATAACTTTTATTTCTTCATTTATATACGTGAGTGGAATTGATGATTAGACATTTGATTGAATGAAATCAATATAGGATAATGTACATTCAGAAATAATAATAATATGACTGTTATCAATCAAATACAATAACATGGGAGCTAAGACGAGTGTTTCCTTTGTAGTCATAATAAGTAACTTGTTAGAATGTTGTGATATACGTGAATTGAAATAGAATTTTGAGATTATTTATTATCCTCTTATGATTTGACTGACTGGTGGTAATGATATCTTCCACACATATCTCTGGCGTCTGCATTGAGTAACTTCTCTTGCATGTGTTGGGTGTAGATTGACTCGATGAACCAGGATTTAGTAATCAACCTCATTCTCCACCTACCTATATTACTTCTTAGAACTTCAACTCTGTCCCACCCTATTGTGTAATTGTGTATGAATGAATGCAGTGCGATTGTTGAGTTTTTGCTAAATCACTTCGCAGGGTCAGCCGTTCTTACCTTAGTTGAATTCTTATGCTCGGAAAATCTTACCACCTCCGACCTACTGGTTTGACCTATATAGTTGACCTAACTCATAGTTATTGCAAGGTGTTTTATAAATTATATTATTTTGTTTAATTTGGTCCACCGGGTCTTTTAGCCTACAGAGCTTTTCCTGCCTGAGTTAGTTGATATGTTTGAATGCCGCCTTAATTCCCGAAAAAAACTCAGCGATTGCATTAAAACAAAACCACACAGTCTGTTGGGATAGGGTTAAAATTCTAAAAAGTAATATAAATCGGTGGAGAGAGAGGTTGATTACTAAATCCTGGTTCATCGAGTCAATCTACACCCAACACATGCAAGAGAAGTTACTCAATGCAGACGCCAGAGATATGTGTGGAAGATATCATTACCACCAGTCAGTAAAATCATAAGAGGATAATAAATAATCTCAAAATTCTATTTCAATTCACGTATATCACAACATTCTAACAAGTTACTTATTATGACTATAAAAATACTTGTTTAATTTCCCATCTTTAAAAAAAAATTGAATTTTAGATTTTCCCGTGGATTGATTGAACCGAAGTCCTCAGTCTCAGGTTGACATGTCAGTTTCTTGTGCAGATGCTTCGACGATGTCTTGGCACTTCATTAGTATTTAATTGATGGATAACGACTAGCAGTGGAATCCAGGATAACACGCATTTCGTTCTATTCGGGACTCGTCAACTGGATGTACCTGCATTGCTCAGTGAGTGATGATGTTCCCACCGAGGCTTGAACCCAGTGACCATAGTTTCAAACACCAAAGCGTTATCCACCAGACCAGTCGGGTGATAAGAGCCACCTCTGCACAAGAAGCTGACATGTCAACCTGAAACCAGGCACTTCAGTCCAGTCAATCGGGGGGAAAATCTAAAATTCATTTTAATAACTAATATGATCCGTTGCTCAAGAGATGGCTTTCGTCGCCCAAGTAGTCTAGTGGATAACGCGTCCGAAGCTATAAGCACTGGGTTTAAACCTTGGTGGGAATATCATAACTCACTGGGAAATGCAGGTACATCCAGGTGACAAGTCCCAAACAGGACAAAATGCTAGTCACTGTCCACCAATTAAATACTTATTTTCCATCTGATTGTATTTAATTGATAACATCAGTAATGGTTCCGAACATACTTTATCTTATATTGATTTTATTCAATCAAATATCTAATCATCAATTCCACTCATGTATATAAATGAAGCAATAAAGTTGTGTGAGTCAGTGACTTGATATGATTATGAGTGACAATAATTTATGCTTGAAACGTTGTCATCGGTTAATATTACTTACTGAATGACAACACTGTGTGATATATCAAAATAAAATCTTATCCATAATGGAGTTGTACTCTACCACCACTATAGTGCCCAAGTTTTATACTTATATCAATGAAGGACTTCAGCTTAGAAGTTTTGAGGAGAAGTGGGATGGTTTCTTCAACTATACAGGGTGGGATTGGTTAGTCCAACTGCACAACATTCCATCCTCTCTGATCTTATTCACTGATTAGTAAACTAGACAACGTTTAGGATCGAATCGGACGCCAAATGACATGCGGTGTGGTGGGCAGACCGAAAATTCTATCAATGAGCCACCGAATGCACCTCAAATGGCATCATCTAGTCACTATATAATTAATCATTAGGAGATTACAGTGTTACGCAATAAATGCTAATACGTACGCACGCAGACAGGGATATCCTGGACCGACGTGAAGAACCTAGAAGACCTGGATACGTACGTTGTTCAAACCGTTTATATTTCACTCAGAACAGTGGAGAATACTAATAATGAATACTGCTTTGAAAATAGGATGCACTTATTTTTAAACTTAGACTACCTGTAACAGTTGTAATTAAGTAAATAAATTATTTTATGAATGAAATATATATATATATATATTGTTTCACTTACCTCTTGTACGACCTTTCGAGACAGGTTCTTTTACATATGTGGTAAGTTTTCCACATCCACGAGGTTTATTCTTATCATTAATTGGACTAAAATGACATGAAAAATAATAAAACAACGAGTACACAAGATATGAAGGCTTAAGCGCAAAATAGAATTACAGAGGAAAAGATGCCTTATTAATATGTGTATCACTTGAGCACTGTGATAGTAAGTAATTCCATATTATTCAAGTGTTGGTTTGTAGGGATTTGATTGGTTACAGGATTTCATCATGAGCTGATATTGGTTAGAGAATCACTGGAAAACCTCGGAGTACTGGACAGCTGTTTCTTCACCCTAGTTTGGGACTCTTCAGCAGTATTCACCCTCCACAGGGATTTGAACCCAGGACCTTCCGTTTACAAGGCTGCAACCTCGTAGACCATTAAGCCACTGGGACGCGATCCAATGGTCAGCTCACGAATTCCAACTTCTGCCGATTCACGACATAGCTCAACCACTAGCTAATGTCTTCGGCGAGTATATGTCCTCGTACCCGATCTGCTGCACCCTACTGTTCACGACGTCTCACTAGAACACCAGGTAACTACCTATCTGAATAGGGCAATTCCATATTAGTTTGTTTATTAGATGTATCACACACACACAGTGGTTGAAGCAGTATTATTTACTGGATGACACAATTTCGAACACAGTTTATTACTGCTCATAATCATATCATCAATAATAACAAAACAACTTCCAAAGTTGAGTTTTATAGTCCTCCTTATCCCTTCTCATTCGTCGTAGGGGTAGTAGTAGAATTTTCCAGATATTCAGGTGGATAGGTGTTGAATAATTTCTGTTCCTGCATGTATTTGTGTGTTGATTCCATAAATAATGCCTCATTTTGTTATCAGTCTCTTCCTCAATGCCATTTTATTAGATCTTAAAACTGTCTTTCATCTTATCCCATCCTATTGTATGATAAAAGTAGTAGATCAAGTGCAGTGAGACTAGCCAAGCATAAAAATCTAGCAGCGAAATCTAGATTAGTTGACTCTATTTAAGATAAGAAATCTGCGGAGTAGGTTAGCCATAGCACCACATTACACGCAATTGCACATAACCATACCCCATGGGATAGGATAAGAAGACAGTTTTAAAACCGAATAAAATGGGATTGAGGAAGAGACTGACAACAAAATGAGGCATTATTTATGGAATCAACACACAAATACATGCAGGAACAGAAATTATTCAACACCTATCCACCTGAACATCTGGAAAATTCTACTACTACTGCTACCCCTACGACGAATGAGAAGGAATAAGAAAGACTGTACAACTCAACTTTGGAAGTTTTATTAACAACAAGAAACTCTGACTCGAAATGCACCAGTCAAGAATCTCTTGACTCAAATAGATGGCGAACGCAATTGAAGATACATAGGAGACACACTAAGGAGGTCATTGAGTGAAGTCATTCAGCAATAGCCACATACGTTAGCGTGGAACATGAATGGGAAGCAAAACGTTGGGCGTGGTTCCTAGGATGATATGGATGAGGAGGAGTTCACAGTATACCTAAGCAATCATGGAATCAGATACAAAAGAACTTCAGCAAACAGGATCAGGTGGAGATGAACTACTGACTGAAACTTCACGTTCCACTTGTAGCAATATGAAATAATAATAATAATAATAATCATTGTAAATGAGCTTACTTACCATGGTTTAAAGAATATTTCCGGTTCATCAGCACATCGACGTCGATACATATCAGTTTCAACAAAACTCTTCTTACCATCTGCTTCTAATTTCATTTCACATTGTGAACAACTAATATTTTTTACTGGTGTAAAACCTTAAAAGAGAAAAAAAGAATAATTAGAACAAATAATTCTAATATGGACAAGAACAACAACTTAGTTATCATAGTGCCAGCCCCCCCCCGTTTGGTAGAAAAGAACCCTAGAGAACAAGGTGCCTCTTCAGTAGAATCCAATGAATATTCGCTGAAGACGTACTTGATGAGGAAGGAGAAAAGTTAACATAAACTCTGGTTGATAACAATTATCCAGACAAGTTCATTAGTAGATATTAAGTGGTCAGAACACCGAGACCCACCATTCGACTCGCTAATAAAAAAGCTAACCTATGTGATGGTGATCATAGCAGGCCTAATAACTAGACAGCGGCTGAACTCTGCTGTTAAAAAAAACGTTTTATGCAGCTAAGCTCATAATGATTGAGAATGTGAAGCCAATAGTATCCATCTAAGCCCTTTGAACACACGAAAAATGATGTCACTTCCCACTGTATTTACCAGTTTGAATGTACGTGTGGATGCACATACACAGGGAGGACTCATCGATCTCTGCAAGTAAGGACTGACTTCAGAGCATATTTCTAAATGACTCCAGAAACAAACAGAATCTTCAAAACCCATTAATGGTGAGAAGAGGAGACCTAGCTCCTCTATTGAGAAAAATATTATAGAGGAGATCATCTTTTAAACTTATCTATAAAACGTGTTTGTTGGAGGGAGTATCGTAAAGTTTGTGGAAACCCCAGGTAGTTCTTAGGAAGTTTAAACCACCTTTATGCGTTTAAAGCAACAATTCGTCATCATAGTGGACCTTCCTTGGTAAACTTTGTTTTGATACTAGTCAGGGTGGATGTACTATTACCTCTGTTATTTGGTTTAGTGACTGATCTTCATTGGTAATTTGGCCTTCAATATGGCGGCCTTTAAACTTGACCTGAGTAGTCTATTTTGTCACCCACCTCCCTTAACTCTTTATTACTTTCATACATGTGTAGATTCCTGTGACAAGTACGTGTGTGTGTGTGTGCTGGATCAGATTGTTCGAAATGTGTTGCGCAAATACAACAGTACACAATTCACACAAATCACGTCATCTTATTGCCTTGTGTAAATAAGACAGGTATTGATTATAAAATAAAATAATACGAAAAATTCTTATAACAAGCGATTGGCTTTACATCACAGTACTTGGGAAATATAACGAATTCATGTGCCTATGCTTATATATATATAAATATATATACATGGGTAGGAATAATCGTTTCATGCATATTTAGATGGAGGAACATACAGCTAAATGACTAGAAATAGTAATCAAACTCTTCGAACCCCAGTGGGTGTGTGCTGATGAAGAGTCCCAAACTAGGATGAAACGGCTGTCTAGTACCCTTTGTTGGTTTTCCGAAGGTCATCTAACCAATGTCAGCTCATGATGAAATCCTGTAACCAACTAATCAAATTCCTACAAACCAATACTTGAATATCAATGAGATGCTCACTAGCTACTGTCCCTATTCAGGTAGATAGTTACCTGGGGTTCTAGAGGGGGTAGTCATGACCAGTAGGGTGCAGAATGTCAAAAGTGAGAACAAATGACATTGGCTAGTGGTGGCACTATATCATGAATTGGCAGAAGTTGGAATTCGTGGGCTGACCATTTGATCGGGTCCCAGTGGTTTAGTGGTCTACGAGCTCACCTTGTAATCAGAAGGTCCAGGGTTCGAACCCGTGTGGAGGGTGCGTACTGATGAGGACTCCCAAACTAGGATGAAACAATCATTCAATAATCCCAGGTTTTCCAGTGGTTCTGTCACCGGTGCCAGCTCATGATGCAATCCTGTAACCAAGTAATTTAACTCGTTGACAAAGAACTCATGGCAGATTACTAGACTCGTTTACAGTATGAACACTTGACTAATGAGATGACTTCTGGGCTGCCTAAATTTCTATCCAGCGTATACCCATCTACTTTACTCCCTTTCTTAGTGGTGTTTCAATCTGCCAGTGATGGATTTGCAATTGAACATGATTTTAGGAATATTTTGAAAAAAGCTTTCGATCTACTGCTCTGCACTTCATGATGCAAAACAAAGCTAAATATTGTAGTGATAAATACGCCTTCATCAACCTGAAACTACTATGGAAATCTTCGGGACTGACTCAGCATGACGAACAAGATTTGGATTCTCAACACCATCGTCAAATCGGTCCTTCTATACAGGTCAGAAACTTGGCCAGTGCGTACTGAAAAGGTTTTCCAACAGTTTTGCAGACACCTTCATACAGAAGATCAAATGGCAGGCTGATGGGCCAGAAAGAATTAGCAAAAAGAAACTCTGCGGTGGATTAAATCAACAGGTGAGAGCTAATTACTTAAAAAATATGTAGGAGAAGATGGAGATGAATCTGGCATTCGTTGAGGAGGCCGCCGATTGATATCGCGTGCAATGCAGGTCATTATTTACTATAATTATTGTTCCCTTAGGTTCCCAATGGAACATAGGGCTTCAACTGCACGTCTCCAATTGCCACTTCTATCTTCTCCTGTACTCTTCACCTGCATCCATGTTCACCATCCATACTGTTTCAGCTCCTCTTCACATGATCTCCTCCATGTCACCCACCCCTGGACTGACGTCCCACTCACCGCTTCCCTTTCGGCCTGGTTCCACTCAAGCTATGGCCTGACGCGCGCGCGATGTCACCCAGCGGCCTCCTCAGCGAGTGAGTGTCCAATGCGTCATCTCCGCTTTCTCCTGCATATTTGTTGTTTGGCGATTGGTTCTTGTTTTGTTTGTTTGTTTGTTCCCATAGTTTCTTGTTGGTGATTCTGGTGATTCCGGCCCGGCCCGGCCATCTGATCTTCAGTATAGAGCAAAATGGAGTGGAATCCAAGTGGTAAGCGATGAGTGGGTCGTCGGTGCGAGGGAGATCGTGTAGAGGTGGAAGAAGGAGATGAGAGATTATGTAAAAACGTGATGCTAGCCAGCTGAAGGGGACAGCAGAAAATAGAACAAAGTGGAGATGTATCGTTAAACCCAAGTTTTCCACTCGGAACCTAAGGGAATAATAAATGAAATAAAAAATAAATTGAATTATTATAAATGGGACGCTACTGTCTATCCCAAGCAAAATACTAAGCTGCATCATCCTGGAGAGAACCAAACACGCCACTTTGGATGAAAAACTTCGACCGTAACAGGCTGGATTCAGGAGAAGCAAGTGATGTATTGATCAAATCAAAATACTACGGATCATCATTGAAGAGAGCTTGGAATGTCAGTCACACATCTCTCTATCTCAACTTCATTGACTTTGAAAAGGCAGCGCAGCGTCGGTCGACAGGTGACTTTGAAACTACTTCGCCGGTACGGGTTGCCACCAACAATTATACATCTCATCCAACAGTTGGACGACAATGCTGCATGGCAAGTAATCCACAACGGGAAACTTACGGAATCCTTCGGAGTGAGGACGGAAGTAAGGCAAGCTGGCTGTCTACTATCGCCAGTGATATTCCTGATTGCAGTAGATTGGATAATGCTACAGACAGCGGGAAACAAGGGGACAGGCATTAAAATGGACCAGCACAAAAAACTTGGAGGATATGGACTTCGCCGATGATATATGTCTGATTTCCTACAAGCTGTAATATATGCAAGTGACGAAAAGCAACAAGTTGGCCGAAGAAGCATCGAAGATAGGAAAAAATAGGTGATTCTAGAGAAAATTGAGGTTATCATAGAGATTCCTGGCCAACAGCAACAACAATTAGCCAGCATGAATGGGAAAAAATCTGAAAGAAGTAACCTCCTTTACCTACTTACTTACCTACCTACCTGGGAAGCATCGTTTAAACTACTGGCCAACGGAACTGACGGGGATATCAAAGCAATGATCGGGAAAGCAAGGTAAGTTTTCGTTACTCTCAAGTCTGTGTGGAGGTCAACAGGACTGACTCAGCATGAAAAATAAGATCCGGATTTTCAACTCCAATCTGAAATCTAGTCAGTACTACTACACGGATCAGAAACTTGGCACCACGTCACCGAGGGCACTTCGAACAAACTACACACCTTTATCAACAGCTGTCTTTGCTCAATACTCCGCTCAAGTTCAGATGGTGTGTTATTCGATATACTGCTGTCGATTAATAATTCACTTAAAGATTATGTACGGACTGTGGTAAATATTTTGTAAGAAATTATGTCGAGAATTCTGTATTGTGTGTGTGTGTGTGTGTGTGTGTAAATATAATTTCCACATTAAAGCTATTATTATTGTCATCATCATAAGAATGGTATCAAAACAGCTTTTAAGAGTATACAAATCGTAAGGGTTGCATAGTGAAATATGCTGAGATGATTGTGGTTTATAAAATTAGGCCGTCACGCCTATTGTGTATACAAATGCGATTTATTGTTAACACTCATCTTTCAGGGTAATTCTTATCTGAATGTATCATTTTGTTTATATATGCGAAGACATTATTATTATTATTATAATTTCCTTTAATTCGTAGAGGAAAATAGTGCTTCAGCTGCACGTCTCCACTGCGTTCAGTTCTCTGCTGAAGTTTTCACCTGGCTCCACGTCTGCCCACATGCCTTCATCTGCTCTTCACATGACCTCTTCCAAATCACCCTTGGACTACCTACTCGCCGTTTTACTTTCGGATTCCTCTCGAGGGCTTGTCTAATGATCTCACTTGATGGCCTATTTTCTCAGAGTATGGTGGGCCAATCCGCCTCCATTTCTTCCTGTTTATTTGTTGCACAATTGGTTCCTTTATTGCCAGAGATCCCTGTTGCTCATCTTTTTTGACTGGACATCTGATCTTCAGCAGTACTGAGCGAAGACAGATGTTGGTGAAGGTGTGTAGTTTGTTCGAATTGGCATTCTTGACGTGGTGAGGTGTCACTTCTCTGATCCATACAGATAGTAGCACTGAATTCACATTGGAGTTGAAAATCCACATCTTATTTTTCATGCTGAGTGCTGTTGACCTCCATACAGACTTGAGAGTAACGAAAACT